AGCGGCACACGCCACACTCAAAGGTCCCGTTGCCATTGTTGCAGCGGCGGCTGTGAGGCTCGGCCTGGGCCTGGCAGGCGCAGTCGCAGTCGAAGGTGACCTGGATGGTAAGGCTGTCCTTGAAGCCCACGGGCTTGATGGTGAAGGACTTCTCCTTCTCCTTGGGGCAGCCGCGTACCTTGGCCTCGATGCTGAAGCTCACCTGGGTGGAAAGCAAGATCGCGTTCAGACACAGCTGGACCCAGTTAGCACTCCAGCCCTGGAGAAAACAAAGTCGTTCCCTGCCCGGCCAAGGAATACCCAAACTGGGTGTCTTATCCTCCTTCAGTCTGGAGTTCCTTGGCCTTCCCACCAGCAAGGTCTACAAAACAAAGACAAGAACGCCGGGATAGTTGTGTCTTTGTGACTTACCTAGCCGGATACAGAGACATGGCTTATAGTCGAGAAGTAGAAGGCTATTTTTTATTCCACATGTAAAATAAACCAGCTCAAGCTGAACAGAACCTGTGATCTTGTGAACACGCTGCTCTGGCCAACTAAACTGGCTGGACTGATTACATAATATCAGCAAGATGTATTAATACAACACACTATTTTGCACCGGACGATGCCATGTGGTGGTCAACCGTAAGCTCAGGATCTATTGTTCAATTTCCACATGACATTTCATTACTCATGCAATCGAGCATGTTTCAGGCCAATATTTCATACATGGGGTGTGTGCACATGTGCCTAGAAGATAAGTAGATCGATAGACAGGTCAATAGAAAGGATCAAATGATTGAAAAATCGATTTTGCTTCCTTCCTCGCTGACCCTCCATAAGCCCATCTACCCTTAGGCAGAAGCAGAGAAGAACCAACCAATAAGGAAACCTATGGAGGGACTGGAGGGGCAAAAGGGGCATTTGCATTCTTAAATTCCATGAGGGTAGGTATTTTTGCCTGTTCCATTTGCTGTTGAATCTTCAGCATCTAGAACAATGTCTGGCACATTTACTGAGCATTGTCAGTGCTCAATAAACATTTATAGATAATACAGGCATTTTATATTGTGGTGAAAAGAAAAGCATTACCTTGGGGAGGCTGGAAACTGGGGAAGGGCTGAAGGTAAGAAATATTTTCATTTGTAATCAACTGCGCATACAAAAACAGGGGTAACCAAAAGACAAGTTTTTAAAAATCCTGATGGTGAAGTTCACTTAACATATAGAAATGGCTTAGGCGACAAGCCTCAGAGAAAAAGATCAGCAGCTCCATTACATCTAACTCGTAATGACCTTCAGGAGGAAGGTACAAGGAAGGAAGGGGCTGAGATGCCCACAGATGCTCCAGGGCACAGGGCAGGGTTGAAGCTGCAGCTTCGGCCCCTGCCCAGCCCACCTCACCGTGTCTCCAATCTTGAGTCCCACACAGGACTTGAGGCCGGGGATGACCTCGTTGTTGAGGCAGGTGGCGTTGAAGGACAGAGACAACTCCTCAGGGAGGTCACGCACTTCCAGCTCTACTTTAGAGCGGATTTTCTGAGCAGAAAATGGCAAAAGAAAGTAAGGAAATGAGCTAAATGGGAAGAGCCAATTCCATCCCAAGCAAAATCTACCAGGTAGCCCTGGAGTTACCCTGGCAGTGCCAGATGCTGAGGTTTGCCTGGAAGCTGCCAGAGCACCCCCAGGAGCCTGTTTCCTGCCCAGGAACCTGCTCCCTCTTTCTGTCCCCACTTATGTCTAGGTGAGTCTAGGTAAAATCTACCAGCTACACCCTCCTGCAGGCCTCAGGGTGTGCAATGGGAATGCCTATACAGGTCACCGTGGGTAGCAGCACTTTCCACCTAATTTATAATCATCCTCACCTTCTCAATGGCTCAGTTCCCTTGTTTCTCTGCTGTTGGAGCCCAGCTCCCCCTTGCCTTGCCCCCTACAATTTCAAGGCCCTGCTCCTTCTCCATCAATCACTATCCCCATCCCCCTCCTCTAAGCTCTCCACTCATTGTCCCTGCTGCTCCCTGGCAGTCCTTTCTGCACCATTTCCCAGAAGGTTGCATCCCTCCCAGGGCTGGCCATTGCCCGGCCACTGGGAGCACAGGAGGAAAGCAGTAAGTGTAGCGGACTAGCAGCCGGGACTCCCGCATCTGAGCCCTGCTGCGTACGCTAGGTGAGCTGAACTCCCAGCAGGCCTGTTCCCAGCGCCAGACACTTACCCCATAAGCATCAACAATGAGCTGGAGGACGTTGCTGGAATCGGTGGAAAGAATCCCCACTGTGGTCCCTGGGATGAGCTCACTGTAGTTCTAGAAAGGAAAACAAAGATTTCAGGGCTCACTGAAGGAAAGTGGGATATTTCACTTGTCACTGCCAGGAATATATCTAGCAGGCTTTTAGCCCTGGGCAAAGGTATAGGAAACTTCTCATACCCCTCACGCCTCTGAATTACCTCCCCTCCACCATCGCACACTCTTCCTAGTAAGTTTGAGGTTGGAAGAGAAAGACCCAGAAAGGGATCTAGTTCCCGGGGAGTGGGCCAGAGGAGGGTCTGTCCTGGCTAGGGACCACGGCCAATGCTGGCTCCCTGGGGCAGGTCCCCCATCACAGGGCCTACTCCAGGAAGCCCAAAGACATAGTCACCTGATAGAGGTTGACCACATTTTCAGTCACTGCAAAGATCAAATTGATGTTTTTCTGGGAGAGCTTCTCAGTCATCAGCCCCAAAGAGGGATAATCCTGGAAAAATGAAAGATATAGAGTTACTGAAGTCTCACATACAGCCCTAGACTTTGAGCTTTAGAACTCTGCTGATTTGGGCTGCAGCCCGGACAGTGGTGGTGCTTAAACCTTTCCACCCCTTGGTGAAAGTGAGGCAAGAAGGGTAAGTAGTGGCACAGACATAGCCGTGAACTCCAGGGAGAGATGAAGAGGTGCAGGCCGGCGGTGCCAACACTAAGCCCCTCTCTTCCTACTCAAAGTCAGTGCATGAATACCGCGGCACAGCTTCCAGGGGCCAAGCACTGGGTTAGCCTCCTTGTTTTGGAGCTCCTGACAAATGCCTTGGCCTGGCCCTCATGATCCTCTACCACGTGGTCTCAGCTTTTCTTTCCAAATAATACTCACCACTCTCCCTCTTCCACTCAGCACTGAATGGCCCACTCTCTTTCTCCCACCTGGAATGGCCTTTTTTTTGGTAATCCTCCTCCCTCCCCAGGACCCAGCTCAAGCCCCGCCTTCTTCAGGAGGCCTTCCTTGACCATCCCAGCTCACGATGACCTTTCCTCCCTTGGGTACCCAAAGCCCGGTTGACTGTGCCACCCATTCAGCACTAATCACGATCTCGTGTTATTAGTAAATACATATATCCTTTCTCCCCAACTAAACCAAAAACTCTGTCAGGGTAGGACTGTACAGAGTCTCTTTACCTCCCTCAGCCCCTGCTCCAGTGCCTTGTGTAGATTAGCACCCGACTTAGTGCTCGGCTTGGATATGGCTGACACCAAGGAACTCAAGGACACGGGGGATGGTGGCGAATCATGAACATGTCCATGGGATCTGAGACCTTGTAGGGAGCTCATGAGATCCTCCAGCTCAGGCTCCTGCCTTTACACAGGTGTCCCTGTAAGCCATGTAGATAAGGGAGTTGCTACATCATCTTTAGCAGATGAAGAGTTCACACCTCCTCCAGATACCTAGAGCTTCAGCATCCTGGGCATCAGCACATTTCTCTTATGACTCACAGAAATCTTTTCTGCTTTCTTTTTCTTTTTTTTTTTTGAGACAGAGTCTCGCTCTGTTGCCCTGGCTAGAGTGAATGCCGTGGCGTCAGCCTAACTCAGCAACCTCAAACTCCTGGGCTTAAGCAATCCTCCTGCCTCAGCCTCCCGAGTAGCTGGGATTACAGGCATGCGCCACCATGCCCAGCTAATTTTTTCTATATATATTTTTTCAGTTGTCCAGATCATTTCTTTCTATTTTTTAGTAGAGATGGGGTCTCGCTCTTGCTCAGCCTGGTCTCGAACTCCTGACCTTGAGCGATCTACCCACCTCGGCCTCCCAGAGTGCTAGGATTACAGGCGTGAGCCACCACGCCTGGCCTTCTCCTGCTTTCAATTTAAACTCCTTTCCTCTTATTTAACCTTCTACAGCCATATAAAACAACTTATAAGAAGTCTTCTCATGCGTCAGCTAAGTCATCCCTTAGCCTTCTTTCCCTAAGCTAAGTGACTCTCTGAGCCCTTTAACCTTTCCTCATAGGACCTGCTCTCCATGCTTTTAATGCTCTTTCTCTCTTTTTCCTCTGTCTTTTTCCAATAACCACAAGTGGCCACAGTATTCCAAGCTAATCAGAGTAGAAAGGAAAGCGTGCTTTCCAGCTGCACCTATGGAAGTCCTTTGGGTCCATTCTGGATGTCATGCTGCTGCTGCTGCTGCTGGTGACAGTGGAGGCAGTGACAACACTGTCATGGCCATTTTTAATGGTTGTGCAGGTTGTACCCTGGATGAGGGTGTCCAGTCGGTAGGGGTCGGGGCAGGCTGAAACCGAGCCCTGCACTCTGCCCAGAGGAAGGGCTGCCATTTTCATATTCACATGAAGATTCTGCCTGGGTTAGGGTAGTGCTGGCCATAGTGAATAGGGACCATAGAGGGTGCCAGAGATCTCACCATAGTAGTGGAGGCAGAATAATGGTTGTCACTGCCAACGTGACACTGCCCATCATTGGGCTGGACAATGCCTGCCAGCCTTCCATCCAGTGCTATGTGAGTCTTGGCATCAGTGGTAAACACCAGCAAGTGGGATGCATCATTCCTCCAGCCAATCTTTTCCTGTCGGAAAAAAAAGGCAAAGAAGACAAAGCAACTTCAGCCATATCATTGGTAGAGAACAAAGACCCAAGGGCCTCCCTGGATAAAGGAGTAGATAAGCTGGCTTGAAGAAGAGCCTTGGTCTCAGTCCTTAGAACCCAAGCTGGAGCTTTCCAATCCAGGGGGTTCTGTTGTCTTAGGAAAACAGTGTCACAGCTGGTTAGTTCAAGCAGCTGAATGATACCTTCTTCAACTCCAAACATAACTGTTCCAATGACAAGCACATTGCCCATCTAGCAACTGACCTGCATCCACAGAACTGGGCTGGGCTGGAAGAAATCTCATCTGAACATCTGCCCACTTTGCTGAGGTTAAATTAACCCAGACTTGACTCTGAAATACTTCCAAAGTAAGTGGGAAGATGTTCTTCCCAAGGAATATCTGGGACTACTGAGGTTCAAGAAAATGTCAGCTCTGGCCAGGGAGTGGATATAAGCAGACACCGCATACCAAGAGCAACTGGATATTGTACTGCACGAAGCTCTGTTTAATTCTTATCTCTTATTTCACACCAGAAATCCCCAGAGTTGAGCCACTTCCTTCCCCATTTTGATCTGTGCCAACC